CTTTAAACGTAAGATTATAAAATTTTTTTCCGATAATGGTGGTGAATTTGAAAAACTCACACATTATTTATCCTCAAATGGAATTTCACATCTCACTTCCCCTCCTCATACTCCGGAACATAATGGCTATGCCGAACGTCGACACCTTCACATTGTTGAAACCGGCTTAGCCCTTCTTTCTCATGCTTCGTTACCCCTCACATTGTGGCCTCATGCCTTGGCCACTGCCACCTATCTAATCAATCGTCTACCCACCAAGACTTTACATAACACCTCTCCTTATCATAAGCTATTCGGTTTTCCACCTAATTATCATAAGCTTCGTGCTTTTGGTTGTCTTTGCTATCCGTGGCTTAAACCCTACACTTCACACAAGCTAGACCCCAAATCCTTACCATGTGTTTTCTTAGGCTATTCTTCCACACAAAGTGCCTACTATTGTTTACATCCTCCAACCAATCGAATTTATACATCTCGTCATGTTAAATTCGTTGAGGATGTATTCCCTTTTCCTTCTCTTAGCAACTCTTCATCTTGCACAAAATCCTCCACTATTGAGGAATGGGTAAGTATAAATCTTCCTTTTTCACCCTCCTGCCACATTCAACCTACAGTTGAAGACACTACTCCTCCTCACTCCCCTACTCCTACTCCCTCAACCTCTCTGCACACACAATCATCTTCATCTGCACCCTCGTCTGCCTCCCCAACTATACCAAACTCCTCATCTTCTTTCAATATCACATCACCAAATACCCCATTATCCGACACTCATTCTGAACCCGAACCTACTGCCCCTCCTCCATCTCGTACCATTGTCACTCGTCTCCAAAACAATATTGTCAAACCCAACAAAAAAATATGCTTATCCTACCACTACAACCAGCCCTCATACTGAACCTACAACTATCACCCAAGCACTCAAAAACCCGCAATGGAGAGCTGCAATGCAAGCTGAATTTGATGCTCTCATAAACAATCAAACGTGGGTCCTTGTTCTACCAACTGACACACCCAATTTAGTAGGTTGCAAGTGGGTATATCGGGTTAAATATACAGCCAACGGTGATGTTGAACGGTATAAGGCTCGTCTTGTAGCCAAAGGATTTTTGCAACGTCCGGGTATTGATTTCTTGGAGACGTTTAGTCCAGTGATAAAACCAGCTACTGTTCGATTGCTACTCTCTCTAGCAGTCTCAAGTGGATGGTCGATTAGGCAACTCGACATCAACAATGCCTTTCTTCAGGGAACTCTTCATGAAGATGTTTATATGGCCCAACCTCCGGGATTTATTGACAAAGACAAGCCTACTCATGTGTGCAAACTTCGAAAAGCAATTTACGGCCTAAAACAAGCACCTCGTGCTTGGTATATTGAGTTACGCACATATCTTCTTTCGGTTGGGTTCAAGAATTCTATTGCCGATCCTTCACTATTTCTATACAATTGCAATGGGATTATTTATTATTTGCTGGTTTATGTTGATGATATAATTGTTACAGGTCCTTCTTCGAATGCTCTTCAACAACTAATTAATACTCTTGCCTCACGATTTTCTTTGAAGGACTTAGGTCCTTTGTCCTATTTTTTAGGTGTTGAAGTACATCCTCGTGATGGTGGTCTGTTTTTAAGCCAACATAAATATATTGGGGACATTCTTGCTCGTGCTAATATGTCAAATGCAAAGCCTGTCTCCACTCCAATGGTGGCACACCCTCCTCTGACGGGTGATTCCGGGTCACCATTGTCCACGCCTTCTGAGTATCGTGCTCTTGTTGGGGCTCTTCAGTACTTATCTCTGACTCGTTTAGATGTTGCATTTGCTGTCAATAGGCTATCACAATTCATGCACTGTCCCACGGATACTCATTGGGCGGCACTTAAGCGTTTGCTTAGATATCTCAAAGGGACAATTGATCATGGTCTAACTCTTCATCGCCACTCACCTTTGATCCTTCATGCTTTTACTGATGCGGATTGGGCTGGTGATAGAGATACATTTCACTCTACAACCGGGTATATTGTTTATTTGGGTAAGAATCCCCTTGCTTGGAGCTCAAAGAAACAACAAGGTGTTGCAACCTCTTCCACTGAAGCAGAATTTCGAGCTGTTGCATCCACTACGGCAGAGGTGCTCTGGCTTCTCTCTTTGCTCTATGAATTGAAAATAAATTTGTCCACTAAACCAGTCATCTATTGTGACAACTTGAGTGCTGTAAGTTACTCCAAGAACCCGGTTTTTCACTCAAGAATGAAGCACTTAGCCCTTGCTTTTCACTTTGTTCGTGAACAAGTCCAGCTCGGTTCTCTACGCATACAACACATTAATGGTGATGATCAGCTTGCCGATGCTCTTACAAAGCCTCTAGCATTCACACGGTTCTCTTTATTACAATCCAAGATTGGCCTTGTCTCACGACAGTCCATCTTGAGGGGGCGTATTAGGAGATAATCTTGTATATATATTTTGAATTTATCTTTTCCTTATTCAGTTTTAGATAGAATCAATTCTCCTATAATGGAGCCATAATTTTAGGCATAGATTAGGCTATAGTTTAACTTAATTTGTTAAGTTTGTATATTATATATATGGCTGCCAAAAGCCTTGTGAAGATCAATCAATTAACATATTTCTTATATCTCTTATATGACAAACGAGACATCAATTAAGTAAAACAAATCAACTAATATCCAACAACTAACAACTGTTTGTCAAATGGATCCAAAATCAAGATGACTAATCAGTGTGATTGCTGTCATAAGCTCATAACTGATGAGGAAATGAATTTTTAATTATAGTATAAGTCGTTATTGCTTAGAAATCAATTAGAGTAATCAAGGCATCAGGCAATAATAGGTACATATATACACCCATTAAAGGGACACATTCAAGCCTTAGAAGCCAAGAACAAGAAGGTCCCTATTAAGGTGGGACATTAAGTATGGCTTTTAGCCAATTCCATGTTGATCCAACTTACGCAAAGTAGGGTTATTATTACGAGTACTCATCTCTTTACTCTCTCCCTTTATATAACTTAAAAGAATATTGCAAGCAAAAATTTAAATAAAATGGATGTTGCTGATAATATGCATGTGATTGTTCCTAGATTCAGATTTACAAAAATTAACTAGTTGCAGTAACAATGTATCACATGAGCATATATAGTTAGAAGTAATCATTTTGATAAGGAGCACATGCATATCAAATACTTCTACGTATAATTATTTGGAATCTTTTACCAAAATGACTAATTTAACAAAAATATTTTTTAAAACGGGTAATTATAAATTTAAATTCCGAAGCTTGCTAAATAATTGACTTGGAAGGAAATTATTTATTTCTCTTATTTTCCTTTGAACGGAAAGGTTCACTTTTTTGGGGTTTTTTTTGTTTTTTTTTTGGGTTTATTTTAAATTTCTATTTTTTTTTTAGTTTGAAAATTTATAGAATAGTAATTTTGTACGTAGTATATGGCTTTCAAATTCCGGCTTGCCCACATTCCCTGTTTTTAGGGTTTTTTTAAAAAAAATTGTTTTTGTTTTTTTTTTCTATGTTTTTTTTTTTTTGGAAAATTCTAAAGCTATAGTTTAAAATATCCATTAATTTGGGAAATAACACTCAACCTAATATATTTGCAACAATTCTCAATTTTTCATAAAGTTACACAAAATAAAAAAAAAAATCACTCAAAAAATTGTTCCAACTTCCAATTAACAAAAATTAGCCGACATTAGCGGAGAGCATACAATTAGCGAACATGGAAATGATAACAATAAACCCTTATAGCCGTATATATTTGCGGTTGTGTTGATAGAACAATACTACTTCAAATTCCAATTTTTTGTGATACGATCGTTTTTTTTTTTTTTTTTTTGGTATTGAAATTATGGTTTCTTATGAGCGACTTTACGTATATCTGTATATAGCTTTTAAATATTTCAACTAAACCCAAAAATATAAAACAAAAAAAAAAAAAAAAAAAAAGTAAACCAAACCGGTTCAAAGGAAAATAATAAATAAATAATTTCCTTCCAAGTTAACATTTTACCTAGTTTTGGAATTAAAATTTACAACTAGCCATTTTGATAAGTACTTTTGTAAATTAGCCATTTGGGTAAAAGATCCTAAATATTTGGCTCATTCCTTTTTTTTTTCTTTTTTTTTTTCACTTACATAAAAGCTAATAACATACGGTATATAATTTTAATTTTGAATAGTTCATTGCTGTTATTGTACTGAAAATAATCAAGATTAGATTAAAAACCTCTATGTTGTTATAGAAATATAATCCCAATACAAGTGAGCTGAGAATATCTCCAAAAAAATTGTTTGGGTCAAGATTTGTATCTTATCGGACAAGGCATACATCCAATCAATGCCATTAAAGATGGTTGTGGGTCGTGTCCATGATGTGCCTTATGTCAAGCTCATGTGCTTTGAGGTTGATTCAGCCTAAATTTTCAAAAGGTTGAGAGATTTGAATCTTATTGGATAATGCATACATCCAATCCATAGCCATTAAAGATGGTTGTGACCCTTGTGGGCCGAGCCCATGTGCTTTGAGATTAATTCAGCCCTGCTCGAACCACAAGCTACGTGTTGTGCCTAAATTTTCAAAAGGTTAGCCCATGCAGACGACTCAAGTCTAAGTGCCACTATGTCGAGCCGTGTTGTGCAGCTTATGCAGGTATGCTTACGCGTCTAAGACATATGTAAATGATTATATCAAACCATCCAAGTAGCTTGGTCCCCCCCTGCCCCTGGTGTTTTCAAAATTAATTTTGATGGTTCCGTTTGTAATAACTTTGGGTCAGCCGGAGTTGTTATTAGAGATTATACAGAAAATAATGTTGTTAGTCGTGCTTATAATCTTGGTACCTCGACTCCTATTATTGCAGAAGCTACAGCTCTGCGTAACAGTCTTCTCTTAGCTATTGATCATAATATACAAAAAAATTTTATTGAAGGTGATAACCTTTTAATTATAAATATTTTGCAGGATAAAGCACGCTGTCCTTGGAAAATTCAATTGCTAATGAATGACGTTAAGAAGTTGTTGACTCACTTCGAGGTTGTTGCTTCTTGCCATGTGTATCGAGAAGCTAATCGTGCAGCAGATTATGTTGCAACTATAGGTCATCAAATTTCAGGCTATGTAAACATTGACCCTAATGTAGATGCTAATTTTTCTTATTTTATTTCTTTAGATAAGTTAGGGTATAGTCTTGAGAGAAGAGTTACTTAACTTTTGTATTTTTCTTATCAAAAAAAAAATAAAAAAATAAATTGTAAATGATTATATCAATTACAGCGTGTTTTGAACCGGCCTGGCCGAGCGCCATTTCTATCTGCCATTTGCCTTTATTTCATTAGTTTGCAAAATTCGTTTCAGTTCCTCTGTTTCCCTCCAAAACCATCAACCACAAAACCTCACCGCAATCACCATCTTCTATGTTCAATCATGCTCGTTTCCTCACAGTAATCCCCCCCTTCTTCAACCTCAAACCACTCTCTTTCTCTCTCTTCTCAACATCCGCCATTAAAGCTCTTCAACCATCACAACCCCATTTTCTCTCTCCAAACTCCATTGATTTCCTCCCTCTTCTCTCTTCTCTGCAATCCCTTCAACAAACCAAGCAATCCCACGCCCTCGCTCTCGTCTTCGGCTTTCTCCCTTCAAGCGTCTCTCTCTGTGCTTCTCTCATCCTAGACTATGCCAAATTTGGTAACCCAGTTTCCTGCAAATTTCTCTTCGAAAATTCTGTGTTTTACTGTAAAACACCCTTCTTGTGGAATACCCTTTTGCGAGGGTATTCCATTGCTAGGGTTTATGATGTTTTTCATGTTTATAATCAAATGATTAGGATTGATATTAGGCCCGATGATCATACATTCCCTTCTGTAATCAAGGCTTGTGCTGATCATTGTGAGAGTCAGAAGGGTAGAGAGATTCATGGGTTTTCCATTAAGGTTGGGTTTGATAAGCTTGTGTATGTGGGTAATACCCTTTTGATTTTTTATAGTAGTTGTTGTGATTTGAGGGATGCACAGAATGTGTTTGATGAAATGCCTGAGAGAGATGTTGTTTCATGGAATAGTATGATTGGCGTGTTTTCTGATAATGGGTGGTCTAAGGAAGCTGTTGAGGTGTTTTTGGAGATGAAGATATGGTCTGGGTTTTTGCCGAATGCGGTTAGTGTTGTGAGTGTTTTGCCGGCGTGTGCTGAGCTCAAGGACGAGGTGGTTCCGAGGGTGATACATGGTTATGTGGTTAAGGTTGGGTTGATTAGTCAAGTGAGAGTTGGCAATGCGTTGGTTGATGGTTATGGGAAGTTTGGAAAATCGGATAGTTCTCGACAAGTTTTTGATGAAATTGTTGAGAAGAATGGTGTGTCTTGGAATGCCATAATTACAAGTTTTGCTCATGCTAGGTGCTATAGTGATGCTTTGTATATGTTTAGGCTGATGATTAACTCAAAAGAGAAGCCAAGTGGTGTTACGTTGTCGAGTTTGTTGCCAGTTCTTGTAGAATTGGAGTATTTTGATGCAGGAAAAGAAGTTCATGGACTTACTGTTAGGATGGGTCTTGATTCTGATCTTTTTATCTCAAATTCATTGATTGACATGTATGCTAAGTCAGGGGATTCCAATAAGGCTTCAAGTGTATTTGAAAGGATGAAAGTGAGAAATGTTGTCACATGGAATGCCATGGTTGCTAATTTTGCTCAAAATAACCACGAGTTAGCTGCATTAGAACTTGTGAGACGAATGCAGGCTTTTGGTGAAACTCCGAATTCTGTAACCTTCACAAACATTTTACCAGCTTGTGCTCGAATAGGTGCACTCCCATCAGGCAAAGAAATACATGCCAGATGCATTCGGAAGGGAGTTGCCCCCGATATTTTTCTTTCAAATGGGTTGATAGACATGTATGCCAAGTGCGGTTTTGTTGAGCTTGCGCAGAATGTATTTGATATCTCCACTAGGGATCAAATATCATATAACACACTGATAGTAGGCTATTCACAAACTACTGAATGCTTGAAGTCTTTGAGTTTGTTTGAAGAGATGGGATCCATGGGTATGAAGCGGGATACAATTTCCTTTGTAGGTGCTATTGCAGCTTGTGCAAATTCTGCAGCACTGAAGTCGGGGAAGGAGATTCACGCTTTTATCATAAGACGGTTATTTCACACACACCATTTTATCACCAATTCACTTTTGGATCTTTATATGAAGTGTGGAAAGATTGGGATCGCTCAGAATATCTTCGAGCAGGCTCACAAAAAAGACGCTGCCTCTTGGAACACAATGATTTTAGGGTACGGAATGCTTGGAAAGTTTGAGACAGCAGTCTCTCTTTTTGAAGCTATGAGGGAAGATACTGTGAAGCATGATTCTATTTCATTTATAGCTGTTCTATCAGCTTGCAGTCATGGAGGACTCGTTGATGAGGGGAAGAAATACTTTGAAGAGATGAAGGCTGAAGGCATTACACCAAAGAATATGCACTACACTTGCATGATTGACCTTCTGGGCCGAGCAGGACTAATGGAAGAGGCCGTGGAGGTTATCAGAGAACTTCCATTTGAACCAGATGCCAATATTTGGGGAGCTTTACTAGGTGCTAGCCGAATCCATGGGGATATAGAATTAGCAAAATGGGCAACTGAGCATCTCTTTGTGCTAAAACCTGATCATTCTGGGTACTATGTGCTTCTCTCAAATATGCTTGCAGAAGCAGGAAGGTGGGATGAGGCAACAAGGGTGAGGGAACTCATGAAATCAAGGGGGGTCAAGAAAGATCCTGCATATAGCTGGGTTCATAATCGTGATCAAGTTCGTGCTTTTCTAGTAGGGGAATCGTGATCAAAATTTTCATATAGTCACATACTCACATGAGAAAATATTCTAGAATGTTCAGAAAAAGTTGACACTTTCCGTAAAATAGTACTTCGTAATAGTTTATTTTTGAGTTTTTTTAACAATGCCCTTAAATAGATTATAGTGATGGGAAGGGTATAGGACCATTACAAAGGATATGATTTTGTCAAATCAATCAGGTTGTTAATGAAAGGTTGGAACTTAGAACGATGTGACTACTAATTTTAGACAGAGAAAAAAGTTCTAATGCATGTATACAAGACTTGACAAAATACGAAAGATAGACTAGGATCAGTTTCATTTGATCACCTTATTTGCCATCTGCGGGTGAATGTATCATGCAGATACTTCTTTATTATACACCAAGTAGAATTTCGAACAAGATTAAATTGATGATTTATGGAGATGTAAAGACTTAATTTTGAAGAAAAACCTCATAGATACTCATGATATTTTAACTCAATTTTACAAGATGATCCTCAACAAAATATATGGCCCGACATTGGGACAGAGGCTGCCTAAGCTGATTTTGTCATTCTGTATACAACCAGAGTAACCAAGAAGAATATGTAACCACCTTACAATATTACATACAGAAAACAATATGCCTACACTATGCTAAGAGATTAAAATTGACCAGAAAAAGGGAGGAAAGAAAAAGTTGTATGTGATCATGTCAAGATTGGTGACAGACCACAGCTTTGCAAGAAGAATCACTGTCAATGATCCACAATCCCAATTCTTCAAGATATTTATGCACTGAATCTATGTCCATTTCAGGTGACCACGATATCATCTTTGTATTTGTTGGTAGCGATTGATTTCCATGGACTCTTTCAAGTTTAAAACTGTAGTTTACGTCATTAACACTCTTCAATCTAAGGACATGATTTTCTGCAAACTTTTCTAAAATATCAACAAAATTCCCATTCTCTTTTAGTAATGAATCTTGACTAATCAGCGTCTCCACAGTAGCAGCAAATTTCTGCACAAATCTTTCATCCCAAACTTCCCGAGAAGATGATGAGCTCCTGACAACCAAGAGTCTGGAATCCTTACCAACATAGAAGCTGCTGTCAGTGAAATCGAATTGTGGGTTACTGATGAGTGGAAGCATGTTGGAAGCAATAACCCAATTATCAAACCCAGATTCCAAACATTTTTTGATTACAAAAGCTTTCACCATTGTCTCCTTGATCAATATAGAACTAGATTTCTTACTTCTCGTGATGCTGTCAAATACATCTTCTGTAACAATCACAGGATGCCCCCTTCTTGGCAGATCATGCAGCAAGTCTGATTCAGAGTTTGGGACCATAAAAATGTAGTTCTGAATATTAAGCCTCTCAAAATGGCATATCAAATTCTTAACAATTGTCTGTGAAGATTTCAACAAGCTGACCAATAAGACAGGTTTTTGTTTCTCCATGGTGTGAAGAATGTGGCTAACTTCACTGAGTTTCTTTGCAACTCTTCCAGGAAGTACTCTTCTGAAGCAGAAATCATACCAATGTAGATCGCTCAAAGATTGCATGTCCAGAAGATTGATATCATGGGAACTTTCATCCAAAAGTTGTGAATCTGGCCCGGCTGTCTTCCCATAGTTAACACCAGGATCTCTGTGAGAGACACTGAGAGCCCTTTCATGAAGAAAATTCGTGTAGATGTTAAAGTAGCCACGTGAATGAATGAATTTAATGAACCATGGGGTCCATATCTTCTCTCCCAATTTTTTGTACCAACCTGTTGTCACCTGCATATAAACAGATAAAGTTGACTTCAGATCAACGCATGGTCCCCTAGGATAAAGGACAAGGTGGATCAAGGGACTGATGCAGAGTCAAATACCATTCCGTCAAGAACAGGCTTGATGCCCTTGGCCTTATGGTCATCATACCAAAGGCGGAACTCCTTCCAGGGTCTTGGAAAGAGAAGCTGACCCCAGGTTCCGACCAATGGGTAAAGGAAGAACCTGGTTTCACTGTCCAACTTTATTTTGTTCCCATGCTTACCTGAATATAATAAACAGTACATAAAGTAATGATATGAGACTACTGATGGTAACAGGGTAAAAGATGCTGGGACACCAACAATGTAATCACATACTCTTATCCATTGAAAATAAGAGAATACACATATATTGTTCTATCACCAAGCTCGCATCGAGCAAGAAGTGTGTATAAAGGACCAGTCTCTTATGAATTTCATTGAGAAAGCTAGGAACTATGTATAATGATAAAAGGAGTAGACTTCCATGCATGAAGTCAGCACCAAAAAACATCACTGCGATTCCTTGAAGTAATTAAGTGTAATTAGAAGTATTCGAGTACCAGGCCAGCCATTTCTATGATACGTGATATCTCTAGACTTTACAAATAAATTTAATTTACAACCACTAAAGAACTTTTTGGACTCTGTATGAACGGCAGCATGCATCAACACTCCTTCTTGTTTAACTTCTCAGTGTTACTAAGTTCCTGATGCAAGTCATCAGCAACCCCTAAAACAAATCAGTAACAGTAATCCGTCAACAGTGACTTCCAGCTAGTTCCAAGACACACTATGTAAACTTTATTGCATGCAGAACATCTTCCCCACAATATCCCTACCCCTTATCTACTACTCTCTCCATCCAAAATAAGTCATCACATTGTCTCAATCCCTCGTAATTTAATGAAGCAACTTACAATATAGTCGGGTCATTTATATCCTCTCCACATCATTTACTTTAAGCAGTGACATTCTATGAAATCTTATCATACCCATTACAAAATTAAGAAATGTGATTGGGAGATGTGGTTAGGAAAACAAAGAATAAACACCATTCTTAATCCCTCTTAGAAGCTTATTTTCTCTCGTTGACAAATAATAATGAAGCAGATTAACAAACTAACATCCTTAGATACAACAACCTCTAAGAACCTGGAGCAAGAGTGCAAGACCTATAAACATATTAGTATCAATGCTCCAATGAAAGTTAGTAAAATCTCCGTTACAAAGATAACTTATGAGGCTTCACTAAAGCAGAAAAACTTCACTTAACCACAGCTGATTTGAGATCTTAACAAAAAACTTAACTCGATTTGTCTCCCTAATATGCAAACAAGTTGCTTCAATAAAAAATACAGAAGGATTTCAAATGTCCTCTTTTCTATTCCACTATAGCCATTCAGGCATAATAAGTCTCTAAACATTATAATCCCTTTACTACTAGCCTCCACTCTAAGTTTGTACTCCTAATTCAGAGTCCAACACCTGAAGGATATCAATTCCACCAAGACCAGTCCTAACTCCTAAGGATGTTCAATTATACACAGCCAACCACCCAATACCAAAATATCAGCCACTCGTAGCTCGAATCATATTTCAGTTGATTAACACATATAATGACCAAACCAACTGTAGCTAACTCTCATTCAGTCAACTGAACATATCCCCACATTATTTCATACAAGAATCAACCCAAAAATTAGCAAAATTTGAACTCAAGCATACCATTTCATTATACATAAGCAAAATATCCACCAGTTAATCATATTCAAACATATTATTTCATTCACATAATTCACTACAATGTACCAATATAATACCAAACAAATTCAAAAAATAAAATAAAATTGATCAATAACAAAGTAGGAGGTACCTGGGACAAACCTTGGACGCTGAAGTGAAGCACCAAAAATCCAAGGGCTAAAATTGGAGTGATTATAGTAATAATTCAAGATTAAACCCTTAATTAACTTATAATAAAGAGGGGAAACCTCCAAATCATCTTCAACAACAAACACAAACTCATCATCATGAGAAGGCCACCAAGCTTCCAACCACTGGGCCTGCAAGCCCACATTGATAGTCCTATAATGGATCAACTTCTTCCCAAAAACCCACTTAAACCCATCAACAAAACCCAAGATTTCATGGGAATTTTCGAGATTCCGGCCCAAATCAGAGGAAGATGAATTGGGAAAGTGGTCAATGAAGATGTGGAGGTCAACGGTGTCGCCATAGTAGTGGGCAGAGGAGAGAGAGTGGAGGCAGCGAGAAAGGGAGGAGAGACGGTTGTATGCTAAGAGTTTGATGGTGAAGGTGAAAGGAGAAGAGGGTTTTTGAGGAGACAGAAAGTGGGTTGTTGGGGTAGAGAGAGAAGGAGAAGGAGGAGGAGATAGAAAGTAGTGAGAGAAGATGAAGAGAGCGAAGAGAGAGAGGAGAAGAAGGGTTAGGTATTGTTTTTTGGGAGGTGCCATTGAAGAAGAAGATGGAAGATGGGATCACAGTGCCATTGAGAAAGAGAGAGTGAAGTGTGAAATGGTGTCAAAAGTTACCTTTTTTTATTTGGGCTAAATTGGGTTGGGCTTGTGTTGGAATTGTTATATGATGGGCTTTCATAAGATGACAACGGGTCGGGTTTGTATCGGATTTAGATTTAGATTTGCGGGTTCAAAATATTCAACTTCAGATTCGATCCATGATTAGACTTTAAATCTCATGGTTTTATGGTTTAGGAGTAGTATTTACAAAATACGAGTAGATACTTGAGAGTAGGAGGATACGGAGTAGATAAATGAATTCTCACCCTCAAGTCAGCAAGTGCCCTTATCTGTTATCTCGAACTTGATCATGTGCAGCCTAGCTCAACCCAGTCGGACCTAGCTTAACAATTGCCTTGATTTGCGCCTGATATATATTTATTTATTTTTGTATGTTTTTTGGATTTTGGGCAATGGCAATCCAAACTTTATTCTAAGCTATAATTTTTAGTCGACCCAAATCTAGCATGAACTAGTGGGTTTGGGCACAATGTTTTTGCCCAAGGTTGGGCTTGGTTTGTGATCATATCTACTTTAATTGGCAAAGATTTATATAGTATTTGTATTTCAGATCTATAATTGAATGTATGCAATAAGATTTTTTTTTTTTATTTTTTTATTTTTATTTTTTTATTTTTTGACAAGAAGCCCTGACAAAGAAAAACACACACAAAAACTAAAAGGACCAACAAAACAATTGTCGACGACGAGCTTGAACAACCAACTAGTGAGCCGGGGCAACCCAACCTTGCAAAGCTTGCAAACAGAGAATCACAAGAGAAAAAGCCAAATATCATGAAGCAATCAGAGGCAAGAGATATCGCCTTCACCACCATCCCGCATAAGAGAAAAAAGGTTCGAACAGTCAGAGTAGATAAGAAGATGACGACGGCCTCGACGATCGGCAGCCCGAAGAGCCCACAAACACGCTTGTAACTCAGACTGAAGGGGCGATGAGGAGTGACAAGCTCTCGAGCAACCACCCAACATAGAATTTGAAAAAACTTCCCTAAAAATCCAACTTGCTCATGGGCTAAGATCCCGAGCACTCCAAGCCCCATCAAAAAGAAGGCAGACGTCAAAGACAGAGGAGGAGTCACCCTGCAGATAGCAAGAATCAAAAGCTACCGAAGTAGGGGAAGAAGATTTCCTTAACGAGTGGACGAGAGACCTGAACCCTTGCGCCAAAACATTCCTAGGGATCCATTCCTGCACCAAATGGAAAATCGCGCTAGGAGATAACACTGTCTGTCAAAAAATCTTGTGGTTACGCGCAAGCCAAACTGCCCAACGGAAGGAGACCAATCCGTCCCAATTTCGAGAGGAACGAAACTCATAGACTGTGTCGAAGAACCAATCAGTAAAAGGTTTCCTATGTAAAAGATGAGGAGAGAAGGCAATTGGAGCACAAGCCCAAAGATGAGAAGTGAACACTCACGTAATATTATTATTAAGATTTTAAAAAAAAAATTTAGAAAACTTATATATTTAATATACTTTGTATTGTTATATATAACATGTCGAATTATACCAATGAAAGACTTATCGAAAAATATGTATAGTCATAATGACTCACAAAAAGTGCATGTGCACAGCATGCTCAATTTGTTTTTTTTTTTTTTTTTGGTGCAAATAAGGGCCAAGCCCGTTTATTATAAAAATAAAAGCGATTACATGACAAACCGTGGCATAGCCACACCTATGGTATCCTCTCAAAGAAGACTTGTTATTTCGATCGAAGGCTCATCAAAATAAACTACTCTTTCTTCAAGAGGAACACCCATATTTGCTAACTTATCAGCTACTTTATTACCTTCCCTAAAACAATGCACAATGTTAACGTTACTACCTAAAGACTTGATAAGGTTGCCACAAGATTTCAGAATATAATAGCATTCTCCTCCTCTCTGATCATCGCTTAGAATAGCTTCGACACATGATTTATTGTCCATCTGGATCATGATCTTAGTAGGTCCTAACTGCATAGCCATCTTGATGCCAATTTCCAAGGCAAGCAACTCGGCCCTGTAAACATTGCACACTCCAAAATTAGCTGCAAACCCTTTCACAAAACGACCAGTGCAGTCACGAATTACGCCTCCACCACCAGCTGGACCAGGGGCCCCTTTAGCCGCACCATCAGTGTTAAGGGCCAACCAGAAAGTAGGGGGAGCTAACCATTTGATAAAGACTTCTTCTTTAGCTTTGGAGTTATTACCTGCAATCATTGAGTTCCCAGCAGCTCCCAAAGTAAAAGTCTTCCAAGTTTCTTCCACTTGAGAACGAAGGAAAGCACCTGTATCAATAGGGATTTCACCGCTTTTTCCAAACATGAAGTTGTTTCTCCATTTCCAGATACCATAAGGTGATAGCAAAGCAAGTAGGCCACTATTCTGAGAAGATTAATCCCTCGGCTTCAAGGTTCTTGCTAACCCATTGCTTGATATCCCCAGTATAGAAAGATGGATAAAAAGCCGCACTACCAACACTCTGCCAAATCTTCCTAGCAACAGGACAATCACGAAATAAATGAATCAAGTCTTCATCAGTATTTAAGGTGCAGTGTGTGCAGCGAGGATCATCAGCAAGGTGCCTTTTCACTCGATTTGCATTACAGAGGAGTCTATCATGAAGAGCGAGCCATAAAAAAGTGCGAATCCGTTGTTGTATCGAAGTATGCCAAGCTAATTCCCACCTACGATCAGTCGGAGCTTGATCATCATCTCGCATAATTTTCATGGCATATTTTATCGAGAACCTGCCTTTGTTTGGCCCCTTCCAGTAGCACGAATCACTTGCTTCAGGGTCTGCTATTAAATTATGTGAAGCAATTTGTTTAAAGCACAGGGTGGGTAAAAGATAAGCGAACAAATCCTAGCGCCATCCATCTCCGACAGTCCACATCTCTTCTACAATGGCTCCATCAATTGAGTCAGGAATAGCAGCCACACATTGACTTCGAAGGGGTTCATCCATCACCCAACAATGATCCCAAACAGGGTTTTTTTTGCATTCCCAATAGCTACCCTCGACCCTTTCTTCAAAAGAGGAGCATTCTCTGTAATACCTCGCCACTATTACTGTCAAAACGGTTTGACAGTTCGGTTTCGGTTCGGTTTGAAATCGGGTCGGTTTGAAATCGGTTCAAATGTCTTACGGGTCGGTTTTAGTTCGGTTTAAATAATTATCGGTTCGATTCGGTTTCGGTTTATTCTTGAACGGTTTAAATTCGGTTCGGGTAGTAAATGGTTCGGTGCAAACGGGTTGCGGTTTGTTAACAGTTCGGTGTAAACGATTTTTATCCCGGTTTAAATTCGGTTCGGGTTGTAAACGGTTCGGGTTGTAAACTGTCCGGGTAGTAAACGGTTCGGTGCAGACGGATTGCGATTTGTTAATGGTTTTTATCCCGGTTAGAAACGGTTCGGTTCTTTTTTAGTTCAGTTTTATTTTAGTTCGATTTATAACTGGTTCGGTTTGTTAACGAGTTCGATTCTTCTACGATTTAACATTATTTGGATCAGTTTTATTTTAGGTTTACTAAATTACGGTTCGGGTCTGTTTTTGATTTAAAAAAATCGGATTTTTATCGAGTCGTTCAAAATACTCCTAGTAGGAAGTGGTTTGTAAACGATTCGAATTATATGCGATTCGGTTCATAAACGGTTTGGTTTATAAGTGGTTTGGTCTATAATCAGTTCGGTTTATAAACGGTTCGGTGCAAATGGGTTGCAGTTTGTTAACGGTTCGGTGTAAACGGTTTTTATGCCAGTTTAAACGGTTTCGGGTTAGAAACGGTTCGGTTTAGATTTTGTTCGGTTCTTAAACGGTTTAACGTTTACTCGGATCGGTTCGGTTTCGGTTTTACTAACATGCGGTTCGGGTCGGTTTTCGGTTTCATAAAATCGGTTTTTAATCGGTTCGGTTCTCATTCGGATCGGTTGAAACGGTTCGGTTTCACCAGTTCGGTTCGGTTTTTGACAGTGCTACTCGCCACACATTCGACATGTTCGATGTAGGTTGGAACATGTCAATGTCGCATCTCTTTTTGCAATATTTATATCGTAGCACCCTAGACCAAAGCGAGTTAGGCTCCGAGAGTGCTCTCCAACCTAGCTTAGTGAGAAAAGCCGAATTAGTCTGTCTTGCTGATCTTAATCCGAGTCCACGTTTCTCTCTCGTTAATTGAAGAGTATCCCAAGAGAGAAGGTGTATGCGTCGGCTTTCATCAGACCCACCCCACACAAATCTTCTAGCCTTTTTGTCAATCTCATCACACACTATTCTCGGCAACTTAGTTGTTTGCATTGAGTAGTTTGACATGGTTGTGAGGGTGGATTTAGTGAGGGTTATGCGACCTGCAAGCGACAAATACTTAGTCTTCGAACCCGTGAGACGCCGATCAATCTTTTCACAGAGATGCGCATAAGTTTCTCTTGTAACCCTGCTTGTCAAAGTTGGCATCCCAAGATATAAACCCAAGTCATCAGTACTTTCCATCCCAAGTTCTTGACTAATGGCCTATTGATCAGTAGGGTTAATATTTTGTGAGAAATAAACCCTCGACTTGGGTAAACTGACCCTTTGACCCGAGGCTCAGCAGAATCGATTGAGGCGATCCTTAATCACAGCAGCTTGATCGGTCGAAGCTTTAAAAAAGAGGATTAAATCGTCTGCAAAGAAGAGGTTCGAAAGTAAAGGGCCACCTCGACTTGCATACCCCGGTTTCCCCCTTCCTCCAATTATAGCCTCCTCAATGACTTAATTGAGTCTTTCCATACAAAGTACAAAAAGATATGGAGACAAAGGATCTCCTTGTCGGATGCCACGATAAGGAGAAAAAGAATCCGATTTTTTTCCATTCCAAAGCACTTTCATGGATGCGATAGTGACACATTCCATGATTACTTCAATCATTACCATAGGAAATCTCATCTCCATGAGAGTATCACGAATGAACGCCCACTTAAGCCTATCATAGGCCTTCTCAAAATCAATTTTGATTATTATGTATCCCTTCCCTTCTTTTTTGCGCTTCATAGTATGGAGTACCTCTTGAACAATCACTATATTATCCGTGATTTGGCTACCCGGGACAAAGCTAGACTGTGAATCCGCAATGAGTTTTGGCAGAACCAATTTACTTTTATTCACAATAGCCTTCGTTATAATTTTATAGGCCACGTTACATAGACCAGTTGGTCTAAACTGTGAAGGTTGTTCCGGATTATCAAGCTTCGGGATAAGAACTCATTTAAACAGTCAGGCAATCCTTTCCCATCTAAAGCATCCATCACCATGGCATACACATTCGGAGCAACATGATCCCAATTTTTCTGAAAAAATAGAGCTTGGAAACCATCGGGTCCCGGAGCCTTGAGAGAGCCCATGTTTTTTATCACATAGTCAATATCACACTTTGTATAGGGTCGAGCTAGCAAATCCCAATCCAAGGAACAAAGTACATTGCACACACCCTTAGGGATGTCATAGTCTATGACACTACCCTCGTCAGTGAAAAAAGTAGCGAAGTAATCCACCACAATGCGCTTCACCTCTTCTTTATCATAAACCCATTGGTCACTGTTACTTTTAATAGCCACAATTTTGTTTCTCCATCTTTTGACAACCGTACTAAGATGGAAAAAGGTGGTGTTACGGTCACCATATTGCAACCAATCAACTCTCGCTTTTTGATACCAAAGGAGTTCTTCTTGATGGAGGACAGTGTCTAATTCCCTCCTTAATTTTGCTTCTAGCTTGATTAAGCTAGAATTCCTTTGCTGCGCAAGTTTGGTCTAGATGCCTTGGATTCGAGCCATCAATTGTCTCTTTTCACGAACGATATTATGGAACACATTCTTGTTCCAATCCTGTAACTCATTCAAAAAGGAATGCAACAAAGGGACAAGCGGAGCATTTTTATCCCATTTATCACAAAGAAACTCCTCGAACTTTTCATGTGACATCCAAGCAGCTTAAAAGCGGAATGGTCTATTCAAAGCCTCAAGCGGAGCAAAACCATTCGGAGGGATGAGAAGGGGACAATGATCAGATTGAATGGCAAGAAGGTGTTTGACTCGGGCCTTATCAAACCGCAAACCCCAATCTCCTGTGCATAAAGCTCTATCTAGACAGGCACTTCTTCTTGAGTCAACAGAGTTGCCTCGAGCCCAAGTGTGAGAAGGGCCCGAGAATTCAACTTCAATCAATTGATTGTCATGAACCCAATGGTTGAAGTTACGACTCCTACGCTAAGTCTCAGGACAACTTGAACTTCTTTCCCAATCAAACCTGGTTTCATTGAAATCACTGGCTAGGAGCCACAGTTGTTATTCCTTTTTGCAAAATCCGAGAGGTCCCTCTATAATTTTTGCCTCTTAAAAGGGTCCGGGTTGGCATAAATAGTGGAAAAAATACCCAGGGTCCTCTCCAACTTTGGTTACAGTCATAGTGATATATTGATTTGATTGAGCAATTGGGTCTATTGTTACTAGTTCGGGTTTCCAGTAAACCCAAATGCCTCCACTAAACCCTTGAGCATCAACATGGGTATGGCCATTATAGCCAAGTAAGTCTGCTACTCGTTGCGCTTGGTCTCCTCCCATGTGGGTTTCTACCAAGGCAAGAACAATAGGCCTGTTTGCTCGAACAACTTCACGAAGTACAACAAGAGTATCGCGATTTCCAGCACCTTGGATATTCCATACCATACACGTGATAGGATAGGAACCTACATTGAGATGATGATTATTATCCATAAGACTAGGAGAATTTGGGAATATGGCACATAGGCATTATTAAGGAATCGGAATGCTTGGTTAACAACCCATGGTAACTTCAACGTTATCATCAATTCCGGCATCATTTGACTCGATGCCGACCATGAGTGTATCTCCACCTCCATCTTGTGAATCAGGGTCTACAATGCCCAGATATGGTTCTGAGATTGGCTCGGTCATGCATAGGATCTTCTCCAGTGGGATTCAAAGGGCAATTGGGGTTGGGCGTGGCTGAGACATGGGAAAGGTCAAGTGAGGGTTGGGAGTCTGCTGGCTGTTTTGTATTGGCGTTTTAGGTGGCAATAGAAAGATCTTTGTTGGTGGCTTGGAAAGTGAGTGGTAAATTTTCTTTACCTACAAGTTTGGTTGTAGAAGGCGTGGCTTGGTTCACTGGAGTTGGAATATTGGAGCTATCTTTGAGAATATTTCCTGGGATATTATTTGGAATATTTTTTGGAGTATTTTATGGGATATTTTTATTCTGCTTCCTTATTTCCTGCCATTGTTTCGATCCTCCTAGGAATTGACCACCCACTTTAGGATTGGGTGTATCTTTTTCTAAAATAAAGGAGTTATCCTTGGTAAAAAAATTATCTTGATTAGGAAAGCCAGTTAAGTCAACCATATTGATTGAGGAATCAATGTTATCATTATCCTAGGCAAAGATTTTACCTTGATTATCTTCTTCAGGATCAATATTTTCCTTTTCTTGATTATTCAAAATTGAAAATCTTGACCCTCCTTGAATTGCGCATGTATTGTTGACTTTTTGCTGAGAGTTTGAATTAGGATGTTTGGGTTGACCAACTCCTCCAGCTACGGTCTGAGCTTTGTCTGGTTTGGTCGGCCTCCTCCTTGGTGGTGGTTTTTTGACCATCATCCAAGCTCCATAATCCTGCTTTTCAACCATGGGAATTGGCTGGACTGAAGGGATCTGAGTAGAAATTGTTAATTGATCATCATTAGCTACTTCGTTAAGGCTACATTGATCACCATTATGACCAATCTTTCCACATTTGAAACATATCATACGTAACCCTTCATACTGGATTTGCCACACCTTACCTTTAAGCCAAAACTTAAAAAGCAGAGGCTTAGAAAGATCAAGTTCAACACTCAGCCTTGTGAACTGTCCTCTTTAAGCCATATCAGTGTTATTATCAATTCGAACCACCTTCCCAATTTTTCCCCCTATCTTGTGTAGAAACTTGGAGTCAAAGTATTCTACAGAAAGATGGGGAATGCGAACCCATGCTGTTAAGAAGCGCATTGGAGCATCATCTGGAATAAAGTCTGGAACCCATTTGCGAATAATTAGATAGTTGTCATCTAACATCCATGGTCCTTGGGTAAGGACATGGTTATAATCTCCAATACTAGAAAATCGAGCTATGAAATAATCATGCCCAATATCAGTGAGAACTAATTCTCCTTTCAATTTCCATTTCTTCTTTAATCTTTTCATCAAAGACATGTACCCAATCTTACTGTTAAACATCTTGATGATTAGGGTGTGCTTCCATGGTTTGCGCAATCTGGTTTTTTTCTCCTTTGATAGCAAAATAATAGGACATATCGGATCATCGACAATCCCCTCCGGAGTTCATCATCATTAGACGCTTCCTCATCATCAATATCAATCACATTTCTGTTAACAACATTATATCTATTCAAATCCTCATTAGCTACCATGTCTTTAAAAGACATAGAGGCTGTTGTAGAGGTGGGATGAGGTAGAATAAGCACTGGTTTGTCAGCAGCAAGGGAGTTCTCATTAGAAAAAATGAGATGATTAATTTTTCTTTTTGGTTTTTCGTGGATCGAGAGATTGAGTCTTGTTCTTCAGAAGAAGGTTTTTCAGGAAGAGAATTTTCGGCCATAGAGAGAATTTTTTGCTTTTCACCCATACAACATGCTCAATTTGTAGGTGTGTGGGCAACATTTGCATCATGTAAATGGATTTTATTTTATTTTATTTTTTTTTTGACATGAAAAAGGAACAATCTCATGTTGTAGGTGTTTTATAAGGGTTAATTAGACATAAACATAAACATATGTTGTTAACACAACTTGGTTTCTGGCATAGCAAGATATTGTTTTTCTTTACCTGAATTTAGCTTTTTTTGTATCGTATTATACGGAGTATCTTAACTTATTCACTTGGATCTTATCTTATTGGACTTCAAGTCTTATCGGAACTTATTGTTAGGTTTTATTATCCTATTTTAGACTTATCTGTATTCTTATTTAAATTATTAATTTTTATCTTATATGTTAAAATTAATTAATTACTCCATATTTACATACTAGGTACATTTCAGATGACATAATTTTAGATTTCCAAGATGGGAATTGCAATTAGTAGCTTCCAAATATCACAGGTTGTGTTTAAATTTTTTCAAACGGGGAAAAAAGTAAACTGAAAGGGAACAAATAATTGATGGGAAAAAACCAATGGAAAAAGTCATCCCACTAATTATTTTCAAATTGCATGGTACAACAACTCCAATTAAATACCATTTCAGTGATATGGTGAAAATGACAATCTGTTACCACCAAACTATGCAAAATTTGAATGATAAAATTAAAAAAGTTCTAGAAAAATACAAGTATGTAACCAGTTGTAAATTGGAAGTGATATAATAACAGTTTATTGAATGATTCAACCAACAACTGAATGTGAAGATGATAGCTTAATAATAATAATAATAATAATAATAATAATCAAGAAATCTGTATTTAATATGCCAAAAATATAGAAAAGGACAAACAATTAAACTTCCGTAATTCACATTTCAAGACATTCTTTTTTTTTTTCCTTCTCATTTACACCAGCTGGTCAACTGTTGAATAAGGGCAAATTAGTCTTAAATTTGTACCTAATCACCCCCAAATCAAGTTTAATTAATCTTATCTTATCACAAATTAAACAGTGATAATTATAAAATTAAGTACTCCGTAAATTAATTAACTAAACTGAGTCTGTGAGATGAAGATCAGCAACAAGAAACAAGTGATGTGGGCCCCCCTTTCATGGAATTTTTGAAGTTTGAAGCATTTTACTCGGACAGATTTTCCCAGATAATAAACAAATAAAGTTTTAATTTTTTTAGAGAGAGAAAGTGTGGGGGTAGTAAAACAAGGAGAAGAAGGTTGTGTGAGCTGAGAGCGGCCAATTGCTTTTGCCCTTTTTTCAAAAAGCAAACATCTTTTTCTTTCACACCCCTTCAAACCCTCTTCTTCTTCATCCCTTTCTCTCTCTATCTCTTAATTTCTTTGATTTTTATTGGGTGTAATTTCTTTGAGCTTGCATATACCTGCTTGAATTTTTACTTGGTGGAAGAATCTCAAAAACCCAGGAAAACCCATTTTTTCTTCTGCATTCTCATGATCTGTAAGTTTCAAAATCCCCACTTTTTTATGATTTTGGTGTTTTGTTGAATTTATGCTGTTTATTTTACATGAAAAGTAATTAAATTAGGGCTTAAGTTGGTTGTCTTACAGTAATTAAGAAATGTGACAACTTTATGTGGAATTTTAAAGCTTGACTTGATATTTGTATACAATTTGCCTGAATTTCTACAGTTGGGGTTTATTTGGAATGCTTTAGATGTGATTTATGAAACTATATTAGTTTGTTATTCATGTAATTGGAGCCCTTTTGAATTGGGTTTTTTCCCATTAATTTGAGAAAAGAAAGGGAAGGAATCGGGGGAGGTAAAAGGTGAATTAAGTGACGTTTAGGTGGTTGTCTTTAACTTTAGGGTTTCAGTTTGGTGAACTGAACACTGACCCACATTTTAAGAGCACTAGGTTGGGAAGTCTTTGTAGTAATAGATTTAGATTCCAGTAATGGGTTTGTTGAGAGGAATTCATGTAGTTACATGTTGATTTTGATATTGTTTTGTGCTTGATAACGTCAGAATTGTTGGAATCCGGCACCATGACGAGGTTGACTCGTGAATTTGCAACAATGCAAAAGGAGAATGTCCCGGCTGTTTCAGCTGACGTGACATTCCTTTCAAGTCGGTTTCCTAATTACAGGATAGGGTCTGATAATCAGGTTTTGGAGGTCAAAGATGAGCAAAAGGTATCAATGAAGGAGATTGTTGCTCGAGAGACTGCAATGTTACTGGAACAGCAAAAACGCCTTTCAGTTCGTGATCTTGCCCACAAATTCGAGAAGGGATTGGCAGCTGCTGCTAAGTTGTCAGAAGAGGTTTTTCATTCTTTTATAGCCTCACTCACATACTTTTGTGCTCACCAGCTCTTGTAGCCTTAGTGTTTGTTATTATCAGCTGTTTTTAATTTGCTTGTTGTCGCTCTCTCCCATGTGGTTTAATTGTTATAGATATTATAATCTCTGCTGATAGTGCTTGATATATCCAATGTTTTTGACCTAAAGATAGTCTATCTAATATACCTTGAAACTACACATAAATGAAGTTTCTTATAGTTGATAATCTGTAATGTCAACATGGACCTAAATTATGCTATTTGAATACAGGATAAACTCAAGGAAGCTGCTTCTTTGGAGAAGCATGTTCTTTTGAGGAACCTTAGAGATGCCTTGGAATCCTTAAGGGGTCGTGTGACTGGTAAAAACAAGGGAGATGTAGAACAAGCTATTTCCATGGTAAGTTTGATCAAACAAGATCCCCTATGCCTGCCCCCCCCCCCCTCCCCCTCCCCCCCGCCTTCCTCTCCTCTTCTCCCATCTTTTCATTTTGGCTGTGCTATTCTAGTGAACATATTTGCTTGTTCCAGTGCTACATAGAGACAGATATATATCCTGCTCTTATGTAGCACTTGCATTTCTAGAAATTTTCTCAACCAGCAACACGATGATTTTTTTTTGCTTGCAATATGACAAACTTCACATAATCACCAATCCTTGGAAAATAGCTATGCAAAGTAATGGGGATTTATAATCTACTAAACTAAATTGTAAGCTAATTTTTTTTTACGATGCCATTGAGCTATTTTCCTAAAGACTTCTTCAAGAATACTGGTTTACATACTAGTCAGTATTCTAGTATCTCAGTAGACAGGTGTGACTGGGTTTTAGAAGGAGGATGAAGTGATTGACTAAAGAAAGGCTAGGCCACGAGATTGCAAAGCAGTAGTAAGTTCGTTTATAGTTAGCATGCTTTTTGGCAAGAATATGAAATAGTTTTGGGGTATATCTACATCACCAGAAACTCTAATGTATGCTATATTTACACTATGTTTGGATAACAATAGTGAAAGAAAAGGGAGGGTAAGGAAAATGAGGGAAGGGAAAGGGAAGTGAGGGGATGGAGAAGGTGACCTTCCATTTTCCTTCCAAATCTCTCCAACAATGGAGGGATTTGGTTTATTAAAAGGGGAAGGAAAATGGATCCTCCCAATTCCCTCTCCTTCCCCTCTTGCATTAGGTATCCAAACAAAGGATGATGCATCCTTTCTTTTCTCTCCTCTTCCTTTCCCTCTATTTCTCTCTATCCAAACATAGTTAGGCTATCGGATTTGCTATGAGCCTTTGCTGGTGAAGGACTCACTGAGTTCCTGCAAGTTATCATAAGATATCCCTTAAACATGGGTTAGTTAATGAGGAAAGTTGTAAGTTTTTTATTGATCGTTGCTCACTGTATCATCAGCCACCTTCTGTATGTATTGTTTATACACTTTGCTGCATTAGACTCCCTAAATTCCAAGTTCCAACTACCATGCCTTTAATGACATAGTTACTAGTATTAATTAATAATTTCGCATCTCAAGTGAGGGGTCTAAGGACCAAAACGCAGACCTCCTGTTTGGTAAGCTCCTATGATGCTGTTAAGCCAAGATGCTTAAGAGTTTTTTTGTGATATATTGAGTGTTTGTTGAGGTAATAACTGACCCTTTATCATAACCCAGGTTGAGGCTCTAGCTGTTCAGTTAGCCAAAAGGGAAGGAGAATTGCTTCATGAAAAGGAGGAGGTGAAAAGGCTAGCACACTTTTTGAAGCAGGTATGCTGTCATATTCCATAATTTGGTATCCTGAATTTGTAAAGGGCTAGTTGATTCTTCTGAAGTTGCTATATTTTGTGCTCCACTTAATCCTGTATAATGAGTTTATTCATTTACCTTAGTCCTTCTTCTAAGCAAACTTGAGCTTCACCTTTTCATACTCATCATGCATAATTAAGTGGAAGAAGCAAAAAGACTTGCTGAGGAGATAAGATCTATTGTCAGGCTAATAAGCTCAAAGTTCATGATTACGCTTATGTGCTGATAGTTATCACTGTTATTTTGTTGCTTATCAATTAGGCGTCTGAAGAAGCAAAAAGGCTTGTTGAGGAGGAAAGATCTATTGCTCGCTCTGAAATTGAAAACGCCAGAGCAGCTGTGCAGCGTGTGGAAGAAGCCATTCAGGAACATGAGCAAACATCCCGAGCATCAGGAAAGCAGGTTGAGCAATGTCATTGGTTTTGATATTCTAAACTCCCCCCCTTCTTTATGTATCGTGAGGCTACATATTTCCGATTAATCAGTAGTGTAACAGTGCGGAGCTGTGATCTCAAACTTCATCTTCTTTGTCATGGCTTACACTCTCCTCAAAATAGGCCCTGACTCAGCTCTATGCATTTGCACTCTTTATACTTCTGTACCATCTGTTTGAGGATATTAGGGGATACTTTCTTATTAAGCCAGTCCTGTCAAGCATCTGTAGAATATTTTCTCTCTCTAAAATTTCTGTTCGCATCATCAGGACTATGAAGAATTAATGAAAGAAGTTCAAGAGGCTAGACGCATCAAAATGCTCCATCAGCCTAGCAAAGTAAGCATTCTTGTTTCTGTTTGTGCCTATTTATTTGCAGTTCTGTATTCTTACTATTTTAGTGTATACTTATTGGTTATTTCTATCAATCGTCATCTTTGCAGGTAATGGACATGGAATATGAACTTCGAGCATTAAGGACTCAGCTCGTTGAGAAGTCTAAGCATTCCATTCTACTTCAAAAGGAGGTATTATGGTGTTCTTTTTCTTATTTTATCTTCCGTACCATTTCGAAATGTGTGTGACACCTTTTAGCTTCTTGATTTGATAGGAGTAACTTGATTTGATAGGGTTTTGGGTTCTGTCTCTGGTATCTGTTTTGCTGTATAGAGATTATAGACAATAATTCTGTCAAGTGGGCTCCTGTTATTTACTCCATTGCTATGCATTGAGTGGCTAAATCTATACAAGATATGTTATAGCTATTGGCTTTAAATTTTCTCTTGAGACTTTTTTATATATATAAGTCCTACCTCCTTCGATAAGGAAAGTCTCCTCTTCTTCAGGGTTTTGCTAAACAGCTTTTCTGAATTCCTTGAATTTATAGCTTCAAAAACTGTGAATGTACGAGAATGTCGTTAGAATTTATAATATCCCTGTAGCCCCCCGGGCGAGGGCATTTCTGCTTCACTCTGCTCTAAGGGTATAGCAGCCGGCGTTCGAAACAAGTTTCTCACACGGGTCTAAGTATATAGGGACACTAGTGGTGGTTGCAACCTGTTTATTTTCTCTATGAATTGGAATTTCATATTGTAGGTGATGTCGAGAATACATCTGATAAAATTTTCTGATTGGTATGAAAGGAAAGAAAGTAATAAGAAAAAAAAAGTCTAGTTTTCCCTAGAAGAATCTGCTTCCCACTTCTTTCAGTGTAATTTGATTTTATTTGCTGTATTATAAATGTACAATTAAATGCCTTGGAATTTGTTTAGTGCTTCCATTGGGTTTGCTCCCTTCGTTATTTCTATCAATTTTGTACGCATAATTTTAAATTTTTCTACCTTTTGCAGTTGATAATGAAGAAAAAGAACGAGGATGAATTTTCCCATTTATATGAAATTGATGGCCAAGAGCTATTAGGTTCATTTTTGCGTGTCCAAACACGTTCTGATGAGGCTGCAGAGCTCTCAGAGTGCTCAATTCAGTGGTACCGGATAGCATCTGACAGTGAGAAAAAGGAGCCTATTTCAGGTATCAATTGCTAAGATATTGGGAACATGCCTTCAGTATTTGGGTCCACTTATTCCAATATTCCTGAGATTGGACCCTTTTGCACATCTTTCAGATAAAAATACTGTTTCTCATTGTATGAAAACACTTGTTATGTTGCTGCTTCGTTGATTATACTCTAGTTATGCTATTCTTTGATCAATTCCATTCTCTGTCTAATGTGATGGGCAATTTGTGGGTACAAATGTAAATTTTAGTCTTAAGAATTCATGAACCAACCCCAGAAGTTGGCAGTCATCTGAACTCCCCCTCCTAACCGTTATTTCGTTTTTCAAAGCGTGCTTTATGTTTTCCTTTTTAAACATTCCTTGTTCTTTGGGTATTTTGGGGGTTGGGGTGTGTATTGTGTGTTTGTGCTTCTAATTCACTAGTTATTGATTGTAATTAACAAGTCAAGAAGCAATAGTTGGAGAAGATTGGTCATATCTTTCCTTGCTAACTATGTGCGTTGTTAAATGTTGTATCAGGGGCCAATAAACAAGTTTATGCTCCGGAGCCGTTTGATGTTGGACGAACCTTGCAGGCAGAAATCACCTTCGAAGGTGGAAAAGCCATGGTTTCTTCCACTGGTCCAATTGATCCTGGTTAGTTTATGATCACGAACAATTGCATGATTGTTTTGAATCTGACTTGCCTAGTTTATTGAAAGCTTTTTCTTAGTCCAGTCTTGTAGCAACCTAAAGTCACAAATCTAAATGTGAACGTGTTTTTTGCTCAACAGCACCAGGTTTGGGAAGCTATGTTGAGGCTCTTGTGCGTAGACATGATACGGAGTTCAATGTAAGTTCAAATTGATATAACGAGTCACCCCTAACTTATTTCCCTAAGTTTTTGTGTTCTTTGAACTTCAAAATCGTATATATTCCAAGTTTATCATTTGATTTTTGAAATATTTTGTGCTTTACAGGTAGTAATCACTCAGATGAATGGCGTAGATCAACCATCACAATCAATCCATGCTCTACATGTTGGAAAGATGAGGATGAAGCTTTGCAAGGGCAAGACAACAATTGCCAAAGAGTACTATTCGTCTGCAATGCAGGTGCACCTTTACAAACTCTCTACTTATGTATTGATTGTAGTATTTTACCTTAATTTTCCTAGTAAATTTTCTTTACTAAGACCATTCTTGTCTAAAATATTAACATCCATGATCCATTTTCAGTGGAGTAAAAAATTCATTATCCAGGAAACAATCGGTGTAATTTTGTTTTTATTTTCCAATGTTCTTCAGCTTTGTGGGGTAAGAGGTGGTGGAAATGCTGCAGCACAAGCAGTATTCTGGCAAGTAAAGCAGGGCTTGAGCTTCATTATAGCATTTGAATCAGAAAGGGATAGAAACGCAGCCATTATGTTGGCCAGGAGGTTTGCTTTCGACTGTAATGTAAGCTCAAGCTTCTAGAAGTTAATGCATTCGATATAAGCTAAATAACTAATAGTACCCTTAAAATTCCGCTTTTGTCAAATTCTAAACAACTTCACTCCTTTTATTGGCAGATTATGCTGGCTGGTCCTGGTGACAGAACACTGCTAGGGTCTTAAACTTCCACCACCCTGACCTTTCGGTTAATTGTAATTATCAAAGTTCAGGAACGTGTCATGTATATTAAGTTTGCACTAATAGAGAGGTTTTAGAAGAGGCTTCGACAATGTCATTGTGTGATGGTTTATCTAGTGTGCAACCACCCCGCCATCTCTCTTCCTAACCACAGAGGCATTCATTTTTTATTTTTTTTTATTTTTTTTTTCAGGTTCATCTCATGGGAATCCTGGGTTTGTCGGTTTTTTTTTTTTTTCCTTCATTTTTATTATTGTGTCCCTGTAAAAAAGATTAAGGCAGGGCTGACAGCCTCTGATTGATTGATTTATTTGATCATATGGGAGTGGTTTTGTTGATTTGCTAATAGAAAAAAGAAAATAACTTTTGTTGTCTTGTTTCTGTTCATTTTTTCTTTGGTTAAAATATTACATTTTGTTGATTTTTGGAATGTCTATTATATACAATCATGTCACCAAATTGCATGAATTCACAAAAGACAAAAAAAAAATCACATAAATTTTGTGAAATTGTGATGAGTGAATCGATAGACTGACATGTGAGTATGTGACTATCTCAAAAAATGTGGTTTAGAGTTGTGGCTTCTCAGTAGCTTGGAGGGTTGAATGACCTAACAAATCTCTTACCAATTAGATTTTTAAAATTTCTTTCTCATATAAGGGGTTAAAATATACGCCAATTGAAAATCCCTGCAATTATAGGTAATAGCCAACATACTTCCTCCGCATTTAAATAAATGAAATATTTTGACTTTTTTTACTATTCACAAATTCGCTTTGACTAATATTTGTGATTTATACATAAGAATAAATATAGTCTTTGTGGCTTATTGATAATTAAAGATATTATCAGTTAAAGTGTTGCATTGGCATACGTGTAAAAGGAAACATTTTATTTATTTAAACATGAAGGGAATAATTTGTAGTTATCTCGTTTGGAGTTGATTTGTTAGAATCTTCTCAATGTACGTAGTAGTATATTTTTATAATATATTTTGTAACTTTTTATAAACTTCACAGTTTTTCCAAATAACTAAAATATAAATTGTTGAACTTGTGTGTAGAAGTACTATTTTATAATTGAAATTTTGAAGCAAATCCTATCAGCACTCCTGCTAAGCTTAATTTTAAGACGAAATATCTTTTAATAAATTACGACTCTAGGTCCTTTAAGATTATTGACACGAACCAAAACAACACAAGTTGTCTATTTTATCCTTTTATCCCTGTATAACAATTAACGTCGTTGAAATTTCACACTCTTTATGACAACCAAACATAAAAAGTACTTCGTATAACTTTGCATTGTTTTTCATAAAACGAGTCCAAAATTATAGATGATCATATGTTCAAACTATTGAAGATAAGTTATAATATTTGGTACTTTTTTTCCACTCATTTTGTAATTATTGCTAATTTATAATTGTACATCAAATGAACAAAATACGTAGTATAAACTTTGATGTACCTTACACCTGAATGTATACGACAATATTGCCCATTTGCTTATTTACCATCAATGTCAAAGTAGACCCACATTTGTTTATCTTTTTTTGTTCTTTTTTGGGGAGTTTGAGAGGAATCTTTGTAGTTGTATAAACTATTGTTGATTTGTTATCTTAGGTAGTGTCGTGTTTGGTATGCTCCTTCTTAGTCTATTGAATCTATTCTCTCTCTATTGTTCGTGCACAAACACCACTCAATCCAGGTACTTTGATGTTTCAATTTTCTTCATTCTCCATTTATTTTATCTTCTAATTTGATTATTTATGATGGGATTTAATAAATTTTTCATCTTTTAATTCCAATTGTTTGTATCATATTGCTCAATCCTTATTGATTTTTATTCTAATAATCTTGTAATCAATCTGAAATTGTGTTTTCCCCATTATTAAGAAGTAATTTAACTTTATGATTGAGAGTTGGGTATAAAATTTGAGTACTTGAGCAAATAAATTTCAATACAAAAATCTGATTCTTGTAATTTTTGAACATTTTTTTTTGCCAGAAACATAGATGATTGTATTGATATGCAAAGTTGAAATTGATTTGTTTGTAGTTGGAACTTAGATGGTGTTAGCAGAATTGCAAGAAAACTAGTATAACTCTGTCAGTGTGAAAGTCAAACTATTACAATGGCTGAAGAAGAGGAGAAGAAAACTCTTATTGAAATACTAGAGGAGAATAACCCAATTGATATAGTTAGGTACATTAATTTTGTTCGTGCACCTGAATGTGGTGCAATAGCGACATTCTCTGGCACGACGCGTGATACATTTGATGGCAAAGCCGTAGTAGAGCTGAGGTACGAGGCGTATGTACCTATGGCAATACGGTGTATTAAGTCCATATGTACTTCAGCTCGAAAGATGTGGAACCTTAATTTGATTGCTGTGGCTCATTGTCTTGGTCCTGTCTCGGTTGGTGAGACTAGTATATTTATAGCCACGTCGTCTGTTCATAGGGATGATGCATTGGATGCTTGTAAGTATTTGATTGATGAACTTAAGGCGTCTGTGCCAATTTGGAAGAAGGAAGTTTATGCCAATGGAGAGGTTTGGAAGGAGAACTTGGAGTTTATTGAGAGGAGATCCGAGTTGTGGAAGGAGGGTCGCGTGATGGGTTGTTGCCAAAGGAAAGTTAAGGAGGAGGCAGATGATCACAAGAAGAAGGCTTGTTGTGGTACCAAGGTTAGAGTGGATGATGAAAGAGAAAACAAGACAAATAGTGATATTACAGAAATAGAGAAGCAGTAGAGTTGTGTGTAACTTGGAAGTTGTTTTCTTGAACCAAATTAATCAATAAGTTTTTGTTTTGCTTACAGATTCAGATGTAAACTTTTGTATTACTATAGACCTGACCAATAAATTTCTTTTCGGAATCAATTGTTGTTGGTGTTTCAATTATTACTTGGAATCAATTGTTGCTGTTATTATGGGCTTGGAATCTATACGGTGAATTAAATTGATGCTATATAATGATAGTATGAAACAAAGTGATGGCGAGCAAAGATGTGAAAGAAATCAGAATATTAATTGCAATTGAGGTATAGGATTTACATAGCCGGGAACCATTCATGATCTAGATAAACTGTCAAAAACATTCAGGATCTAGATGATACAGATGCAAAAGATTTTGCAAGATGCGAAAGAAACCAGAACTAAAAACTACAATAGGTAATAAGGTTTTACATAGCCGAAAACCATTCATGATCTATCTGATAAGATACATGTCAAAAACATTAGAAGCCACAAATCTGCAAGCCCTACAGATCTCTGATACTACTGTCAACAAAAACCTTGGGAGACACAATTTCCACAAAAAAGAGCACTATCAGACTCGAAATAATCCATTTCACTGCTCGTTTAGATGCATAGCAGGTGGAAGCAGGGCAACAGCACCCCTGTCACTACTTGAGAATTTCCGGAGAACTCCTTTCATTTTATTTTCTTTCGCAGTCATTTGGAATTTGATCAACATCTTAGCACATTCCCTGCAAAGGTGAAAAAAACAGGATTTGTCAGAAAGATAGACAACTAGAATTAAAGAAAAAACTCAAGAGAGTATCAGGACTTGAGCTGCTCTTCTGAGTAGTCTGTGTAGTGCTTGAGTGTATCAGTCCAAACAGGAGTTCTCCCCAAATAATGCAGGGCAGCATACACGGAAGCAGCAGCGATTAGTGACGGGCAGTATGACACCACTAACTGATACTGCATCAGACCATTTTCTGCCAAGTAAAAGGCCATGTGTTCCATCTGCAAGCCAAAGACACAATTCCTTAAGTATGGCAGCCATAAATAGCCTCATATTCTTCTATAAAACTTCAGGAAATTTTGAAGGTTGAAAAATTATCAACTTAATGTCAATTTGCAAACCATAACGATATTGTTACCCGCCATTTAGCATCAGTGCTTAATTACCTCTTTATCAGTAGGAACAGTAGCTTTGATGAACCTAACAAGGAAGACATATGGAGTAGCAACTGTGAGATTCCACTCCAATTTCAATAAGATTTCTTTCTCCATTGCTAGTATTTGTTTATGGGTGTATGCATTGTCAGAGATAGACATAAAATCATTCACCTGCAAGATAGATCATCAATTAATACCATTAGCATATGCAATGTACCATTCAGACAGTAAAAATAGATTTTAATAATGAAAGGGCTCAAAAATAGCACCTCAGGTGCCCAAATCTCTTCATATTTGCAGGCTAACAGCATTGAGCTGATGCCTACCAGCTGAAGTTCCTTCCTCGAAACAATCTTTGTCGAAAGATACCTATCCACGAGGTCGATGGTCAGGTAAAGGGTTTCAGGCAGCAGTTCAAACTTGTTATGAACTTCGACCAGCCAATCGATGAGAATCATCCTCATCTTCTCATTGATGTGGGACTGCAGCGGCATATAATCAAAAACTCGATACTCATCTTCTGTAGTCCTGTAGAACTTGTAAATTTCCTCCACATATTCAACTACTGCTAACTCATTATCAGCATCTGCAGCATCAATGTTCACCACCTGCTCTCGAGGCCTCGTTGCAAGCCCACAAGCTGCCTGTAAAATCACCCAATTTTCAGTACTAGAAATGTCAGAAAACATCAGACAGATTTACTGTCAATGTGATCAGTTGATCACCTTGCTTCGCGCAGTGAGGACTGAAGTAAGGCTGTATTTCTTCTTCCTAGAGGTTTTTTTACCACTAAGAACCCTTTTCTTCTTCATCTGCCTTTTGTCATCAGCTTCTTCTTCCTCATCAGAGCTTATTATTATGATCACTGTCTCAGGGTTTGGGTTGTATGTAACCTTCTTCTGAGCTCGCGCCTCGGGTTCTTTTACTAGTTCTTCTTCCTTCATTTTCTTGTCAGCTACTCCTCCATCAGGTACCAGTGACAAGGCTCCTAAGCTCCTGAAACAATTGAACAAAAATTAATTTTTTGAAGGGAATTTTTTTTTTTTTGAATTTCTCATGCTAATTAAGAAATCTAAAATAGCAATCAAAAAGTGGAAAATTACTTGATAATAGGAACATTGTGGAAATTAACCATATTTCCAATTTCTTGAAGAGGTTTACGGTTTCCGCCATCTTTTTTATGCTTCTGTTCTTCTGAATCTCACAAAAAATAAATTGTTAGGACTATGAGTGCAAGTGAAAGAAAAATAGACCAAGATAAGCCGGTAACACACAATTTAACGTGGAAAAACCCTCAATATAGGTTTAAAAACCCGAAAACGACGAGCACCAAAAATCTAATAATACGAGAGTACAAATGCTAATCGAATTACAGAGTATATACAAAAGACTTCCCTTAGAAGCTTTCAACAAATCTATCCAATTTCATTAATCCTAAATTCCTAATTGCACAAGAATTCTAATACACCTTGTTTATTAAGTACAGACAACAACAAATTAAAGATTATAATTTAATTAAATAAACATTTATTAGTACATTATGCATAACAATAACATATTAATACAATTAATACATATTTATCAACTATATCATATACTTCCAGTCTAGAACAAACCCCAACATCATAAGACTGACCCAAATCATATCAAAATACTTTAAATTAATTTTTGAATTTCCCTAGAATTAAAAATATTAGACCCATCAAACAATAATACAAATATCTGAGAAAAAAAAAATCGGATCTTTTATCAGCAAAAACAGAGGAAGTAATTGGTACCCTGTACCCAGAAAATCAAATTTAACCAGATTCAAATCATTAAACTGAAATCACACAAACCCTTATCAAATTAAAAATGGGGAAACAAAATTTCAAATACCCAGAAAACAATTTTCAAAAATTTTGAAGAGGAAAAAAAAATTACAAAAATTAAATTCAAGAAGAAAAAAAAATTATACCAGGATCTTTGATGGGAAGATGAGAAGGAAGAACAATTCTGGAATCCATATCTAAAGATTGTCCAAAAACGCCACCAATGCTTGAAAAAAGCGTCGATAAAAACGTATTGAGACGGCTATTATTGCCTGTCTCTCCTTCTTCTTCCTTTTCCCAAGCCACCGTTAAATTTTTCTCTCTAATTCTTTTTCTCTTTCTCTCTCTTAAATTTTGTGGATTAAAATTTCTGGATTTTTCTGCAATTTTTTGGATGATTGAAGAATTGAGAAAATTTGGTGAAGAAAAGATGATCGGAAATATTAAAGCTGGTGTTCTGCTTTTTGTGGGGGAAGACTCAAGAGGGAAAACGCTCCAACGGTAAACTTTGTTTGTTTCAAACTACAACCGTTGGATGCGTTTCTGATCTTATCTAACAGTTGGAAAATTTTAAGGTTTAGGAAAAATGGGAACAAAGTTACCGTTTGGAATTTTCTTTCTTTTTTTTTTTTTCCCCTCTCAAATTTACATTTCAAAAATTATTAGTACTATGGTATTTGGGTAGATAATTCGGATGTGATTAAGATAAACATTATTGTATACTTTTAAGGTAATGTTAATAATAATTCCATTTCTTCACCAAAAAAAAAAAAAAAAAAAAAAATAAAAAATTATAATTCCATTTCTTCCTAATATAGGGTACGGATTTCAGAAATTTTTTTATTCCACCTTTAGAAAAAAAAAGGTTTACATCGTGAAAACACAAAATTTTAGAACATGAAGATTTCGTGGTTATGTTGTACTTTACTCTGTAAAGAAAGTACGGAGTATGAATTAAATTGTACTTTGTAACTCTAATACGTAATTTTTTTAAAAAAAATTTACATTAAAACTCTCTTGAAGAATCCGTAACAAGAAGAGAGAACCAATAATATAACTATAAAAACTCTCTCGAAAGAAGGACCGTAACTCCGTCTCGAACGAATCTCTCCGTCTTGAACGACCTGTCTCTGGCATTATGGCTGATGAGTTGGCTCAACAATACTCAACGCTAAGGTTGGAGGAGGATGAAGGTGACCTGACAGACTTGTGTAGCATTGAAGGGGAGGGCTCGAATGATAACATTGACCTGCTGTTGGTAGGGCGTCTCTGTACCAATCGTCCGTATAATGTTGAGGCGTTTAAGCGAATGATGCTGAAGGTATGGAACCTATCGAATAATCTTGTGATTAGGGTCCTCAACCCTAATTTATTTGCTTTTCAGTTTTTTCATTTGAAGGATAAGGAAAAAATATTAAGAGGAAGACCGTGGTGTTGGGAGAACCATTTGTTAATTTTGGCAGAAATTGATAGGGATGAGCAACCTTATCGTGTTAAACTTAATCAATCCCCTTTCTGGATTAGAGTGATGAATTTGCCGTTTAATTGTCGTCCGAATGTTTATGTGAAAGCAATTGTCTCGAAATTAGGTAGCTTTATGGAGATTGAAGATGATTCTCTTGGTTTGGAACGATATAGGAGGGTCAGGGTGATGTTAGATGTTGAGAAACCCTTGAGACGTTACCAGTGGATGAAGGATAAGAAAGGGAAGGAGGTGAGGGTGGAGTTCAAATACGAAAGACTGCCATACCTATGTTTTGCGTGTGGGATTATCGGCCACTCTGAGAAAGATTGTGTTAATGTGCCTGAAGAAGAGAAGATGCAAAAGCTGGGGTGGGGTTTATACCTGCGGGCGTCTCCTAGGAAAGGTGTATCGAAGAAGTTGGAAGAGGAATCCCTTATCTTGGCCAGTAGAAAACAGTTGTTCATTACAAAGGAAAATGATCCTTCTCTCAAGGGTGATAAAACAGGTGAGGAGTGCTCCTTAGGTATTATTACTTTGCCTAGTGGGGGGGAGGCGACTTATGAGGCTGTGAAGGTGGGTGAGAATGAGCAGTGTAATGAGCAGAATTCTACCCCTATTATGAGCACGAATCCTATGGGAATATCTAATGTTGCGAATGGAACTGAGGGGCAGTATGATGTTTCGGGTGATATGTCACCTTTTTCCTTTACGGTGGGTTTGACTAGTCCAAAAAAGAAATGTAGGAAGACTTTCAAAGCAGTGAGATCTCAGGGCAGGGGGAAAGCAGATATGGAGACGGATGAGGGTGGAGGAGAGGCATCATCAGGGAAAAGGAAGGCAGGGGGCAGGATTCAGAAGATCTCATGGAGCAGGAGGGGTACTCGTTAAAGAGAGTAAGAGGCTCTTTGGGTAATGATGTGTTGCCTGTTATTAATCAAGTAGCGGAGGTTGGCGATGTCCAACCCCGTGAAGAGCAATGAAAAAGTTATGTTGGAACTGTTATGGGCTTGGCAACCCATCAACAGTTAAAGCTCCCCAAGACTGGTGTTGGAGAGATAGGCCAAATATTGTTTTCGTTATGGAAACAAAGATTGACTCTCGTCGCCTTGAGTTGATCCGTAATCGATGTGGTTTTGTTAATGGAGTTTGTTTGAGTAGTACTGGAAGGTCGGGTGGTTTGGGTCTTTGGTGGAGGGATTTAAATGTGGTAGTTGCTTCCTATTCTACCCATCATATTGAGGCTGATATTTGTGATGAGAATGGTTGCCCAACCTGGAAATTTATTGGTGTATATGGATGGCCTGAAGCAAGTAATAAACACCGTACATGGGATCTCATACGTGGTATTTATGCGCGGTGTTCGATTCCTATGCTTTTTGGTGGGGATTTCAATGAAATCCTGGGATTGCATGAAAAGAATGGTGGGCAGCCGCGAGGGGAGAGACCTATGGATGCGTTCCGGGATGCTCTTGATGATTGTCGCCTTCATGATCTTGGCTTCAAAGGTAACCTATTCACATGGGAACGAGGGACTTCTATGGAAACTTTGGTGTGGGAGAGACTTGATAGATATGTCGCATCAGATGGGTGGTGTTCTCTATTCCCTTATTATGAGGTAATTAACTTCCATATATGTCATTCGGACCATGCTCCAATCTTATTGAAAACTGGTCAGGAAAATGTTGGTGATAGAAAACGGAAATTGTTCTGATTTGAAGCTCTTTGGCTCTTGAACGAGGAGTGTAGCAAGGTTGTCTCAGATGCGTGGATTTGTGGTGTGACCGAACCTATTCATAAGAGGATTGCAAGGGTAGGGGAGGACCTTTCTTGTTGGCAGGTCGCAAATTTGGGAACATTAAGAAGAGGATAAAGAAGGATGAAAAGAAGCTACAGGAGGCGCAAGGGGGCTGGTTTGATGCGAGAAGGCTAGAGCATTGTATTAATATCAAACAAGAGATTGATGAGCTGCGAAGGCTTGAGGAGTCATACTGGCATACGAGAGCAAGATCAAATGAGCTACGAGATGGGGATAAAAACACAAAGTACTTTCACCACAAGGCTAACCAGAGAAGGGCGAAGAACTATATTTCGGGTCTGTATGATGATTGTGGGGTGTGGAGGAACTCGGTGACTGATTTGGATGGGATAATAGCAGATTACTTCGGTTCTCTATTAAGCTCTGATAATCCGAGCAATCTCGAGGAAGCTACTGCGGGAATTGGTTTACTGGTAACGGAGGATATGCGGGTAGAGCTGGAAATGGAACCGACGGGGGATGAAATCAGAGATGCCTTATTCCAAATGCACCCAAACAAGGCTCTGGGACCGGATGGTATGCACGCTCTATTTTTTCAGAAATTTTGGGGTATAGTGGGTAGAGATGTGATTAATTTTGTGAAGAGCTGGTGGAGGGGGGAGGTTAAGCTAGGGGAGATTAATCGTACATGCATTGTGTTGATCCCGAAGTGTAATGTCCCGAAGAGGATGTCGGAATTTAGACCCATTAGTCTATGCAATGTCTTGTATAAAATTGTGTCGAAAACTCTGGCAAATAAAATGAAGGCTATGCTTGGCTCTGTTATCTCACCAAATCAAAGTGCTTTTGTGCCTAACCGTCTTATAACCGATAATGCCCTAATAGCTTTCGAGGACTTCCATGCTATGAAGAGGAAAGGGGAAGGGAAGGAGGGGTCGGTGGCTTTGAAACTACACATGAGTAAAGCGTATGACAGGGTGGAGTGGTGTTTTCTTGATCGTGTTATGCACAAAATGGGATTCCCGCAGTCGTGGATTGATCGTATTATGCAATGTCTGGCTAGTGTCTCATTTTCTTTTAAATACAATGGAGGTATTTCTGGCTCTGTGGTTCCTTCTCGAGGATTACGGCAAGGTGATCCAATTTCTCCCTATTTATTTTGATTTGTGCCGATGCTTTTTCTATGTTACTCTCTAAAGCAGCCAAGGAGAAAATAATCCATGGTGCTCGAATTTGTAGAGAGGCCCCAAGGATTTCTCACCTTTTCTTTGCAGATGATAGTATTTTATTTGCGAAAGCTACATTGAATGAATGCTCTAAAATAGCTGATATTATCAGTGTGTATGAAAGGGCATCGGGTCAAAGTGTGAATCTCAGTAAAACTGAGGTAGCTTTTAGTAAATGTGTATCTGCTGAAAGAAGAAAGGAAATCATTGATACTCTAGGAGGTAAGGGAGGCGGAAAAACATGAAAAATACCTCGGTTTACCAACGATTATTAGTAGATCAAAAAAGGCCATTTTTGCGGGTTTAAAGGAGATAATCTGGAAGAAGCTACAAGGATGGAAAGAAAAATTGTTGTCTCGTCCGGGCAAAGAAGTACTTATCAAAGCAGTAGCACAAGCGATCCCCACATATATGATGAGTATTTTTAGAATTCCCGATGGCTTGATTGATGAAATTCACGCAATTTTGGCTAAGTTTTGGTGGGGTTCGAAAGGGTCGGAAAGGAAGATGCATTGGCAAAAATGGGAGGCTCTTTGTCTCCCAAAGTCTATGGGTGGTATGGGCTTTAGGGATTTGTGTGTGTTTAATCAAGCTCTTCTAGCAAAGCAAGGATGGAGGCTTTGCAATAACACGGACTCCTTACTCTATGGGATTCTTAAAGCTAAATACTTTAAGAAATCTGATTTCTTGGAGGCTGCTTGAGGGTATGATCCGAGTTATAGCTGGCGGAGTATTTGGGGCGCAAGGCTCTTCTCCTTGATGGTTTGAAGTGAAGAGTGGGGAATGGTGCTTCTATCAATGTGTGTGGGAGGATGCATGGCTGTACGGGCAGGGCTCTCATCTTGTTCCTACCCTAAAACCGGACAGCAATCTAGAGCTTCAGATTGAACAATTGATTGATAAAGAAGGTGGGTGTTGGAACATTGACGTGTTGGATGTGACCTTTGCGGATGAAGACAAACAAGCTATTTTGAACATCCCATATCTCAAGAATTGCCTAGAGATAGTCTTTTTTGGTGGCCTAACCCGGATGGCTTCTATTCCGTAAGGAGTGGCTATTGGCTGGGAAGGCTAGGTGTGTTGAGATCATGGGAACTTGTGTATAGCACAACAGAGAAGGATGTTTGGAGGGTGGTTTGGAACTTAAATGGACCTCCAAAATTAAGCCATTTTCTGTGGCGTGCGTGTAAGGGGCAGCTAGCAGTTGGTGAAGTTCTGTTTAGGCGCCATATTGGAGAGTCAAGTAGGTGTAAGGTTTGTGGACGCAATGCTGAAACGGTGATGCACACACTGTTGAGTGTAAGT